AATTTCATTTGATAAACACGTTTAGATTGAATGGTAATTTATAATTAGTCACAAGAACGTCGAATCTGAATCACTTGAAAAAACACGGGGGTGCTTAACTTTTTTCCAGGTGTATATATGTGACATTGACGTAAGTAATGAATAATGTGTTCTTTGACTGTTGATAAAGTGGTAACATTGAATGATGTTGACGAAATTCTCGTCAAAAATGTGGTTGTAGCCGGGGAAGCATACAAAAAAGTATCTTAAGAAACTTATCTCTACGAATATTAAAAAAAAAAAGTGGAATCTGTGAAAAAAACTATTTGGTCAAATTATTGCGGGCCTTAGAGAAAGCCAGGAATGTGAAGATGCTGAGGAGGATATAAAATGTATCTCAAGGGCTGCGAAAATTTAAAAAAAAGAAATAACATTTACTGAAAAATGGAAATCTACTGCATTATTCGATGACTTCCAAGTACTAAACAGACTATAGTGTTTCGTAAACTGGTTATTAGTAGATCTAAAGACAACGAACACTGTTGGAAAAAGCGATGAAAATGCCAGACAGCCAGTGAAGCAAGTAATCTAAATGATTATGTCAAGTTTCAAATCTGACAGACACGTTACTTGTAAGATATAAACAGGTGCTTCTTTCAGGGCATACTGTAGTACACCATTAGGCATTCATTGAATGGGCACAAGAGTTCAAAGAGCAAACATTTTTAGCGTAGTTCTATACCTTAAAATACAATACCCAAAATTACACTAAAACCCAAGATAGAAAATTACACTAAACAATTTTCATCTCATTAGGTCCTAGTAATTGTGACAAGCAGATAAAATAAATTTTGGAAAAATAAACCTAGCGGGAATGAAGCTTTGGGACATTCCATACAATACTATGTCAACAATATTTATACAGGAGAGTAAGCATGAAACTTTTGAATAAAATGTCTTTGTACAGAAGATTTATCACACAATATAGCCTTGTAGCAAAGTGTACAAAATCATTTGCATCTAGATGAAGGAACCAGTCAAATAAATTATTTGAAGTCACTCATTTTTATGCAACTAGGGCCTACCAATAATTAGTACTGAGGATTAATTGCAATTTTGACGGTATTTTTATTGAATCTTTTGGGCGACCCTGTAATTCACAATTTCATGAATCCACAAGCAACTTGATGCATAAATAGTTTAGAAAGTCATGGGGGCCCTATCAGTAGCTATATGACTTAGTACAACTACTAAAATACATAACTAATAGCATATCCGCCTAATAATTGCACTGTTTCACCACAACTTACTGCACCAATAGGAGAGTAGTTCCATTAAATGTGATTCACTGTAACCTGTATTATATATCTACAAAAACTGTTGACAAGTGTTTTATTAAATAGATGGGCATTGTATTAAAAAATTGAAATGTCAGTAAGCAAAACATAAAGTGGATGAAAACTGCTTTCTACTTGGATATGCTTAAAAACTATTATGTTCCAAATATATTGTTAAGAACAAGATAAAGACTTTAAGAGAACGTTTATTGTATAATTGTGACAAATGATTGAAAAACGTACCTTCACTAATTACGTATTATTAAATCACAATAATCTTTAAAAAAATTTTATTTAGGAAAGGCCAAAGTTTGCCAATAGGTAAGATGTATAAGGAATGCCAGCCCTGGAAGTTGTTTCGGTTGGTTTAACTTTACAACATTCAATCTCTGTTTGTCTTCTTGAATATCATCTTTGAAATTCCCTAGATTAACGTTTTTGCTGAATTTCCCCCAAAGCTAACTGAAGGCTGTCTGTGCTAGTGTCTCTAAGTTTATAGACTATGAGGAAGGCAGCTATTTGAGAAGTAGACTTGCCAACATTATTTAAAATTGGCTTCCCCTTAGCAGTGACTAGACTCTCTTACATCCTAATAGCTGCTGTACATAGTCAGCTTCATTAATTATTACAAAGTTGTCATAGCAGCATTACATGTCATGAAATGCTTAAGAAGTTTTCAATTTTCTAGGTAAACAACCACCTAGTGGTGAAGCGTACATATCCCACTGCACAAGGATATGTCGACTTGTAGATTACAAACAATCGCTTATTTTTAGTTTTAGGCATAATATCCTTAAAAGGAAATAAATTTGTTTTCAAGATTTCACAAAAAACACAATAGCAAAACATCTCATAATTCTTTAAGCAAAATTCACTGAAACTTTGACTAAATTAATGCTAAATGTTGCATGAAGAATGGTGCCAAACTGAATATATGACCCTGAAAAAGGCAATTCGAAATATAATTCAATTTCAAAGCTATCTCACTGATGATAAGGCATCCAAGAAATGTGATCCAGATATAAATTCGTATTCAACTGTGAATTTTATATCTTAATATTTGCAGTTTAAATACTTCAAAACTTCATTTATATGGTTTTGACTGAAAAATAGTCAATGAATGAAAACACATATAGTCTGTAATACAGGACGTTTTCTTCAGTTTTTTCATAATAACTTAACAAGCAATTTCTGACTTAACAGGAGAAAATTATTGTAGTTTGCTTAGTGGGTATGGTTCCCACTAAATCTAGAAAAGCAGAAATAACTTACAGGGATTGGTAAAGCTTCATATTTTGGACATTTTGAGTGAAGAATTACATAGTGATTTTCATCAGTCCTAAGTCCAGCAAGGTCATCTAAGTAAACCAAGACAAATATTTTCTTGGTATTTCTATTCGATCCTTCATGCCAATCATTTCTTCCTCACTATCATTCATTACTGTCTTTCTTCCTTTTTATTATACTGTTAATAGCTTCTCATCACGTCACTATTAATTTTTTTTTTTTGCTGGAATTTCCTATACAGTATTGATCAACACTCACATTCTTCAACCATAAATTTTTTCTCAAGCATGCCACCATTTATCAGTGATAAACCCATGTCATCATTATATTATTTACTTTTGTTTGTTACATGAGGTAGTCAGACTGTTTGAACCATGTATTACTTTGACTCTGCTGTTGATCTAGAGAAAGTATTTTGTTTTTCCTTGCTTGTTTACCATATTCTTGATTTGATTTTCCAAAGGAGAATCCTCCTTACTATTATTTATGAAAACAGATTTAAATGTATTAATACCTTCTTCAGATTCACCGAACATAATACAAAACCCTCTCAAGTTTACCACTACTGCAACTCAAACAAACCACAGTATATCTATACAAAACACTTTAATTTTAAACAAAGAACCAAACAGTAATGAAAACAGAATAAAGAAAGCTATCTTAATTGAACAAAACAACCCCACCCTAAATCAACACCACAGGGTACCAAGATATCTATACTAGGCTGTGAAGCAATCTCTGGTCATGTGACCTCTTTTTCCATACTGTATATATATATATATATATTCATGTGTCTCTGTAAATTACTTGTATCTGAGGATGACATAATCTTGTCAAAATGTTATACATTTATAATAAAGTTTTTTCATTACCCAGTCAAATGTCTCCAAACCTTTTTCTAAAAAGTGGGTTCCTTGTCATCAAATTTGCATTCAAAATTTAATTAAACTATCTTTTGTTCATGTTATACCAATTAGTATAACATAAAATTGTAGCTAATAATCCATATTTTAATAGTATACAAGTTTTAAGTTCTTAATTTTATAAGGTAATATTAAATGAACATCTTGAATTTCCTGTTGTGCGAGAAATGTAACATTTTTTCCCTAGGCATCTCCCTCTTCTCTAATTTATTTATCACCACTTAAAGAAGTACAAAATCTAACTTCTCATTCACAACTTGTACATGATGGCATGAACCCTAGGCTCATGTATTGCAAGTAGCCGATGTCCGGGCAAGGACCTTGTTTGTCTTCAGCATTCTTGACCCTGACACTGAGATTGTAAAACTTCCCCAGTACATGTACACACACACATACACAGTAATTTGTTGCTATCCTAGACCCATGCACTTTGGAGTTTATGTAAACACCACATAGCATGTTCACGATGTTCATTTGCCAAGGTTTTTAAAAGGAAAATTCAATAATGTATTTTTTTACTTGGATTGTAAACAAGCCATTTAAGTTGAGTCAACAGTCATAATGGGCAAGTCTAAAGTCAAGTCACAAGTAAAAAAAATTACAGCTCAAGTCCAAGTCACATGACTCAAGCCTAGAGCTCTGTCTAATACCCCTTTTTCATATTACTCCACCACCTTCTTGATTTGTCTTGAAGTCATGACTACAAGAGTTGCATATGGTAACCACTTCACTTCTTACCCATCTTTCATTGTATTTAACCACAAGTTTCTGGGTCTTTACCTTATGATGATGGCTCATGAAGAGTTTTGCTTTTTTACATGAATTCTAGATGAATCACTGTTGGGGTCCAACAGAAGCCGTTCAACATTATCAAAGAAGTAAAATGTATGTATCACAAGCAATCAACACCACTGCCACTGTGATCATCACTCTTCAAATAACAAGTCATGGTAAATATCATGAGATCTACAACTAATATCACTGGAGTTCCTGAGGTTTTGGTCAAAGCCATATCTGAGATAATTATGTACAACCTCCACTTCCTTTAGTAAATCTTGTTGATCACCATTTGAGATAATCACCAAATCTATAATCCACTTAAGTTCAAAACTATCACTGCTAAGAAACCTAGTCACATAGTTCACCACTTATAAGTTGCACATCAATGTGACATGAGATGAAAAAGGAAGATTGGGAAACTTGCTTCATATGGTTGAAAGGAGTAGGATTATTGATATAAGAGTCATAGTCCAGATTTGCCAATTTAGAGAGCCATATCAAAATGCTATGTTCAGACACACACAAAATATTAAAAATATTCTAAATTGGAATAACAATAATAATAAAGAATCAATATATATACAGAATTAAAAAGAACTTTATTTTGTGTAAGCCAAGTTGCTTTAGAGTTTAAAATAAAATACTATAAATACAAAACTCCTGGCCTAAATATTTCAAAGGTGTATGGATGTGCTTTGATAATAACATGGTCTCTTTTTAATATCCTCTTATCAAAGTTTATATTTCTAATGTGGAATTACATTATACCCATGGTTAAATAATGATCAGACATTTTTTTAAACTCAGTCATTAATAGTAAGTTCATCAATACCCCAGTCTTCGTAGCTTCCATCAGGCAAATAACGTCTGACAATAATAGGAATTTTTCTTAACCTGTTAAAAAAGTAAATATATATACACACACATACAAGATAAGTACTTATACAATGTTACTACTTATTCAAGGCATTGTATATAACATAAGACTCAATTTTTTGCTCATTTGGTATGTTTGTTGGCATATATTTCAATAAACATAACAAATGAACAGAAAATTAAGCCTCATACTATATGATATTAATTCTCTGTGAAAGGTGTTGGTTGTTGCACCAACCCAGTTTCTATAAACTAAATATAGCAGATTGAGAACTTATTTAAAGTTTTATTTAAATTGTGTATATAACTCTGTAAAAAGTCATGACATGTCCATGTTGACCCTTCTATATCCATAGGATTAAGTGAGTATGGAAATAGGATGAACACAAAGCAAAATAATTAAATTAAAAAAGAATTAAAAAAAAAAAGAGAGGAAATCTCTGCCAATATAATGTAGAGAGTGTTAGTAATTTGATTGTACTGAAGGGTACTGAAGAGAAGACTGAATGGAAGAGTTTGGAACTGAAAAATTTGGAACACAATTAGAAAGTGGAGGTAATGAGAATTCAGTAAAGTGAGGACATTAATTTTAGCATTAGTGATATCCATATTGCTCTGTGTAAATCTCATTAAATAGATTTTGAAAAGAGAAAAAAATTACATAATGACTGAGAATATGTAAAACTGAAACTGGCCAATAATTTTGTACTTTTGGGTCCTATAATGTGCCAAAAACAGAAACCTCAATCTCAGTTTACCAATTTCCTTTTTGTGGCTCTGGCTAACAAGGAAACAATTTTTAGATAAAAGTCTGGCCTGGTAGGTATCTGCTAATGGTGGGTTTAAAAATAATATTGAAGTAAGTAGAAAATATGTTCTACAAAAGCCTTTCACCATCTTATAGAATCTTGAAAACTTAACTACGAAAACCTGCTAATCTTATCATTTTTTTATTCAAAAAACATAAATAAAACACAGTTTCACTGAGATTTTAATCACTTATATAAAAATAACTTATTTTTTACCATACCCAAGATATTGGTAAACTGCTTTTTGAATACTGTTAATCAGAAAGTTTCATTCAATATCTGTAATAAGGTTTAAATGAGTATTATATTCATTAATTTCTTTCATATTTGTGGTGATTTTTCTTTGCCTATTCAAGCAAGCACTTAGTTTGACATGGTTGACAAAATGATATAGCATGCTCTTCACAAGCTTTAAACATTAATCAGGATGGTAATGATAGTGGACCATGTTTATAAATACCTTTCCTTCTAGCAATATATCACCAACCTATGCTTTTATCACTTTGTTCCAATCTCTACATAAATCTACACTGAGCTGAAAGCCTTTTTTTGGCTTTAACAGTGAAGAATTAAAAAAAAAGGAAAAAAAAAAGTTTTCATGACATGTTTAGATCAGTAGCCTATGATTTCTGGAAGCTCAGACATAGACAATTATATCTCATTATGACAACAGAGGTTGAGAAAAAGCAGTTGGCTAAAATTCAATAAAACTACACTTTTATTCATGTTATATGGACAGCTTAGCAGTACTGTGTTCAAAAGTATTAAGACTTTCTTCCTAGGAGGCTATGTATGCTATATTGTGCTGAACAAAGTTGAGGAAATTTACAAAGACTAATGATTTCACTGAGACCATGATGAAATCAATCCAAAATCTTTCTTTTATATATAAAATTAAACAAACTTTTTATTGAAAAAATTTGACACTAATTTTTTTTTAGTGTGGAAACTGAATAAAAGTTCATTCTATATAATTTTTTCTAATTCAATGGTGTAATTTTGCTTTTGAGGCAGACTTCATTCATCAAGGTATGAAAGAATTAACAGCTCCTTTTGTACCCAGAAGTCTCAAGTACAACACCATGAGACATGACAACACACCATGAAAAAAAAAATACAAGGAAATGCAATCTACAAGCAAGCCCAATATGTCATACATCACAATTTTAATGCTCATGTAATTTTGGTTAGCAGATTTGTAGTGTACATAAAACCAAGACAAAATCAAATAAAAAAGGATGAGGATAATCACAGTTTTAGTGAGAGAAAGGAATCCTGTCAAAGTTCACTGGCCTTTAATCATCATTGTTAAAAAAACAAATGATACATGATCTGCTAAAGACATGGGACTGCTACCATTATGTATACATCGAGAAATAAATATTAGTTATAAGTAAAATATCATATGAGGAAGAAAAATGATTGGAATTAATAACTAACAAACAGAAATAGTTTCAAAATGATGTTCTTGAAGAAGATCTAAGTCCTGAAAAATGTACCTCAGTACTGTAACAATACTAAAACCTTCCTCTGAACTAATTATCCCTAATGAATTAATCAAAATGGATGAGAATAACAATCAGATCAGCCAGCATCCATTTGAATTGTAGTAGGTTCTCAATCATTCAAATTGTAATGAAGATCCATAATTAAGAAGCTGAATTTAAAATAAAATAATAAGTTTAAAATTAAAACAAATTATTAATACTAATAAAAAACTCAATAAATAAAAATAAAGCCACAATTTCTAGTTTTAGATAAAATTCTAAACATCGTATAAGAAAAAAAAAGAGACAGTGATAGGTACAATCATAACTATATAGCTGAAGATAAACACCTGTATGAACATACATCTCTTGTTCAAGTAGCAAATGGTAAACCTAAAATGAATTAGCTGTGAAAATTCATCTTATCGGTGGTAAACATGCAAGAGAAAAAGTAATGTATTGTGGTGAATATTAGTAGGGTACAGTTTGTTTTATGATTCATTGGGCATTCTATATGGACTAAAGCCTAAAGAAGCTACAATTTTGGTTCTAAGGATATTTGTATTAAATATTTTTAACATGTATAATGAGTATTGGAAATGATTATACAAACAGGGAATAAAGAGGGTATAAGATACAAATATTATGTGATTGCTTCCCTTCTAATGCAAGAAAATGAACTGTGCCAGATTACAGTTACATGTTAATTGTTTACACTTTAACTGGTTGTCATCCAACAAATTGGATTAACACAACAGAAAATAATGTAAATGAAATTAACATTTAAAATACCACATTTTAATTATGCAGTTGTGGTTGCTTTTTTGTATTTTTTAAATGTTACCTGCTGTTTTTATATAAAACTAACTACGAATATAATATGTATTTGAAGTTGTAAAGATGTTTTTCTGGACAATGTTAAAAAAGCAGAAGAGCATAAAAACTATAATTTTCTGAGTAAATACATAATGTTAACTTTCGAATAGAGCAAGCTACCTACTTACAGTGGAACTACTAATCAACCTGATATAGCTGATTAAATATACTTTTTTGATGTTAAGTTAAAAACTTGTGATGTATATTAAAAACACATTGAGAAAGCTTTGAAATATATACATCCAAAATACACAATCTCAGTTGAAGAGGCTTTTTTTTTCAGTGTCGTACATACATGTATACACGAGCATATATGTGTATAAATGTATGTAATACACACACAAACACATCTCTCTTTACACGAAAAACCTTTATAATATTCATCATATATAAGTATATTGTGTCTTTGCTACAGAGAAAGAAAAAATATTTGCTTTAGACTTTCACTGCTTACACTTATAGAAAGGTAGAAACACACACTAAGTAAAATGTAAATTTACAGTCATTTCTTTGAGAAATTAAAATTTTCTAACATGTAAACACTTACTTCAGCTCTTTTGTTGCAATTTGTAGTGGATCAGTTTCACCTTCCAATTCCACCATAACTGGAGCACACATCCTAATTAACAAATTAAAGGTTTTAGTATTTCAAGCATTTCCTGTAATTTCTTGTTCATTTAGGAATTCAAAACACTGGGTACACATATTAATTTTTACACCTCTACAATTTTTATCATCTTAACAACAGATGTTAACATTTTCTTACATCAAAAATGTATTTCTGATAGATATTTATATCCTCCCACCCAAAACTTTTCTTGACTTTGATTTGTCCTGTAAGAATAGTTAAAACATTTTTCGCTAATAGCACACCTTTGTTTTTGTACCATTTCAGAACATGTGCATATTATGTGACTACTCTCCACCAATCATACTGCACCACCTATGCTATTGCAGGTAGCTCCCCCTCTACTAATCTAGCACAATCCTCAGTTTCGAGAATTGGCAGTTACAAACTAAAACACTGGCATATTAGTGGGGTGGAAAGGTGGGAAGTGGGTAAGAGAAGGTTAAGTACCTATAGAAAATAAATTTTCAGTGTAGGAAAATGTTAACTTTAGAAATGGTACTACCTCTCCTCACCCAATGATAGAATCCCACACTGAAAACTGGAGGGGCAGGTGAAATTGAGACAGTATTCAAATAAGTAGATAACAACCACCTAAGAAAGAACAGGTCTGCCAGAAAAAGAAAAGTAAGGCACACCTGTAGGGTGTAGCACTACTTCTGGAATGGATATGCTTCTTGCCCAGTAAAGAAATAGTAATATACAAGGGGGAATGTATGAGGCAGGCATCACATGCTCAAGAAAAAGATGTACAGCACTTTGCTTTGGAGCAGTGCAGTATAACTATGGCGTGAATCAGCATACAGTGGACATACGAAATGAGCTAGTATCTAATTTACAATGGGCCTGAAGAATTATGTGCCAAGGGAAGAGTCCTGGGGCACACTGGAACAAGCCCAATGATGTCTTATCGAGGATATTGTTAGCAACAAAAGTGATCATCCCCTTGAATAAATAAACAAACAAACATAAAAAACCAGGGGAAGCATCATACATAAGTATTGAGTATGATATTTGGTCAGTTAATTTGGAATCAGCCCATTATCAATAGATAGTACATTATTCATCCACATATGTAGTAGATCATAGTATGTGATATAGGAATAAAAAGCCATAGAAAGATGCCAGATAATGTGATATAGACATAGGTGAATAGGGCTAAAGCATCATAAATTGTTTAGGAATACAACAAGTGAGGTCCACTCAGGCAAAAAGCATCTGGTGGAAGTGCCTGGGAATATGTCAAATTATGCCAAGTGCAGACAACTTGGGCAAAAACATCCAGGGGAAGTGCCTTGGGATTCTATTGAGAAAGTGCAATCCAACTGGCCAGAAACATCCAGTGGAAGCACCTTGCATAAGCATGTATATCATAATCAACAACTGAGATCAGTCCAGTCAAAACATCTGAGGGAAATGTTTTGGATCGAGAATAGTATGTTATTGCCTATTCAATAATTATCACTACAACAGCCCTCTTCTTGCTGAGTAGGTACTTATAAGTATATGAGTTTGATTTCTTTCATTGTATAACCCCACTCAAGGAGAAAATTCCATGATCCACCACTGTAGCGACTGGGAACCAGAGTGGTAAGGACACCCTTGCTCTACTACAAGAAAAAAAAAAGGGGGGGGGAGAGAATACACATTGGGGAGTCTGGAGGAATGACACACTGGAAATTTTGCAATGGATGTCTGAAATTTTGAAAAGCAGAAAGACCCAGTTTGCACAAATTACAGGTCAGTGGGGATGTATATCAACTGAAAAAGATGAAATATAATCACAGGTCAATATCTCAGTCAATATCCAATTGAGAAAGACACAGCCAAATCGTGCAGATAGTGTGCTATGAATGTATTGGGAATTGACCACATACTTGCTTGAATTATTTCCCCCAAAGATTGATGGATTCAAACAGCTAAAGATATAGTTAAGTGATGGATTTGGTGTGATGAAACACTGTGCAGCTGGCAACCTTCCAGGGACAAGTCACAATATGATAGCTGTAGAAGTACTCGAACCCAGACAGTAAAGCTAACAAGAGATAGCTCTCGGAAAACAAGGATTCCAGGAAATAAATAGGCAGGAACGACAGCCACGAAAGGAGACAGTATTATACACAAGGAATGCACAGAACAGTGAAGACGATCCGGATCTGAACATCAGTACAGATAGGAAATGGACAGTAAGGAAATAGAAAAAAAAAGGAGAAACAACCTTCATTGGCAGCAGTTGTCTTAGGAAGGAAGGCCTGATCTGATAAAGGATAATGTAGGAGGAATGGTAAAGGACACAGGAAACATTAATGGCGTAAACATCAGAACAAAGACAACCACATGCTAGTAGGAGAAGGAAATAGGTCTTAAGGGTCAAAAGGATGTCGATGATGAATAACACGAAAGGAATGGAAAAGTATGGGCCAAAGCAGAGAGAAACATGCCTGAGCTGGCCAATATGGAGCAACTAGCAAAACATGACAAGGAGTGGTTTGGACAATGGACAAAGGCCCCCCAGTCCTGACTGAATGATTTCACCCCCACAGCTGAGGGGTGTGGAACAGGAGACCACAAAGAAGGTAGTTTGGCATTCCAGTAAGTGGCAAACACATCTATATGTGGTGTTCCTAAGGGAGAAGGGAGCACTCCGTAGGTAGAACTTTGTTGGGACAAAACAATTGGTCGGTCACCAGATTCATAAACCCAGGAACATGACATGATAAGTTGGTTATATTGTAATCATGGGCCCAGTACAGGAGGTAGAGTATCTGAAAACACAAAAAACAGAACTTGATTCCTGCTCCAAATCCCTGAGCCAAAGTGGAGAAGGCCGAGCCTGAATGAAATAGGAATTGAAGAGCACCCCTAAATGAATAAGATAATGTGTAGGTGTTAGAAGGGACTTCTCCAACTTGATAAGAAACCCCACCCGAGCAGCTTCTCGAAGAAGCAATCATGTGTGAGAGACTGATTAGGCCTAGGAAGGGGCAAGCAGAAGCCAGTCATCCATATGATGATGAGCCCAAAGACCCAGCGGATGAAGACAACAAGTAAATGAGTGAACCACTCGACAGAACACAAGGAGCTGAAGCCAGACCAAATGGCAGTGCATGGAACTGAAAGACACAGCCATTGTGGATGAACTTAAGGAAACAATGTGACCCTGGAGTTATGGAATATGAAAATAGGCATCTGTCACATTGAATTTGGTCATTGTGACTCCCAGGAAAAACCCACTGAAGGGATAGGTAGGACTGTGACCCAGGATGTCTCCAGAAAGGTATTCAGCCGGGACAGCTCTGTGATGGGTCTCCAATCTCCCATATTTTTGGAGACAACAAGTAGAAATAAAATCCTGGATGAGTAGGCACAACCTGTTTGATAGCTCCTTTGTGTTGGAGGTCCCAAACTGACTTAGCAGAGCATGATCCTTAGGAGGAGAGAAGGAAACCGAGGAAGAGGATAAGGGGGAGGCGACCTGAACTGAAAGCAAAGACCCTCTTCCATCATGAAGATATGCAAAACAGTTCAGAACAGTCACAACCAGGCCCCATCTTCCTTGGAAAATACATTCCATCACCTATACCTCTGGCCACTGTAGGAACAGCAAAATCGAGAGTAATGATGAGAACTCGTGGAATAGGTTAAGGGGTGGGTAGAGGAAGAAGGGTCATGGGGAACTTGAACTGGTGAAGCTTGGGAGCAGCTGGACAGGACAAACGAGATGCCAAGGAGACCAAGGAGGAATGTAGTCTTACCACATCAACCCTAGACCCCAAAGACTTAGGTCAACCCCCAAAAATAGTGTTACACAGAAACTGGGCCTGATGAAGATCCCACAAAAAATACAGGGGGAGATGCACCCCTTGAAGTAATGCATCTCTCCCCAGCAAATCCCAATGATATAATAACCAGGTGTTGAGAGACAGCAAAGATGTTGATAAACAAGCCAGAATAGACCTTGGAAGGGTTCTGAGTTTCTCAGAAAACGGATCAGGTGACTTGACTGGCGAGAGGCTTGAGACAACAACTGTAATGAGGAATTAATACGCAAAAGGGTGGTCAGGGTAAGACGAATCCTAGAAAATTAGGATTGATTAAAGCCTCAAAGGGGGAGGAGAGGATCCAGATGTTAGGAATCCAAAAAGAGATTTGAGGCCTGCTGGTAAACTAAAGAATATTGGTCCATCCACCATGAGGTGGGGACAGGGCATACCTACACCCGACAGCAAAACGTTGGGCATGAACTCGGATGTTGAGTGACAGAGAAAAACATAATAATCAGAACAAGGTTCTTTACCCAACAAGGTAAGAGAGGAATCAAGGGCTAAGGTGAAACATTTAAAATTTGATGTACCTGATCTATAAGGTATAGGAAAGGCAAAGTCGACAAACTCTCCTGATGTGACTGACCAAAAAAGGCTGCAGCCAGAAAAATTGAGTCCAAATTATTCTTTACCCTGAATAAATTCTTCCTCAGAAGCATATTCAGGAGGATGGGAAGAATGAACTGACTGCCAAGCAAAAGTGTCCAACTCGCTGTGAATTAAGACTTGAACTTCCTCGGTAGATACTGTCAACCTACCTTGTTGAGAACCAATGACATTACAAATTCAATAATGGAGGGAACTTCGTCATCTGCCACCATAAAACTGAAATTCATATTTCAAATTATGGAAAAATTCTTCGAAAAACAAAATTAAAATTCGAAAGCAAACACTTTACGTTTAAACTGGTAAAGGACTGTAATGCAAGCACAACAAAAATTCAAGCACAAGTAAACACACATCTATACACTGTAATGCCAACTGACAAAGAGAGGATTGTGCTAGAATAGTAAAGGGAATTACCTGCACTAGTATAGGAGGCACAGTATGATTGGTGGAAGGTAGTCACATGATATGAACATTCTGAAAAGGCGTGAAAATAAGGAGGTATAATAGACTTGTGCGCTATTAGCAAAAAATGTTTTAGCAATGCTTAGAGGGCAAATGAAGGTCGAGATAGCTTAGTGTGAGAGAAGGTAGTATTGTTTCGGAATTCAAAAATATTACTTACTTTACATTTCAATAACTGATCCTTAAGAGCATATCTACTCATATAAAAACTTATGAAGAAAACTCTCACAGAATGCCCACATATTGTTAACATACTAATCACCAAGTTTTGTACCACAAGAAATAACCTAAATATCAAATAAACAAATACATAAATATAATCTCGGAAATCACAGCCTAAAATATAATAAAAAGAAACAAAAAACAGTGTTGATGTAAAATTGACAGAAAAAGTTGCAAAAGTTAGAAGAAAAATGTGGTACAAAAAATACTGAAATGCATTTATCTAATTTCCAGAATTCGAATGAACTAATCAAATAAACTATTACAAAAAAATAAATAAAAAAAGATGTTTCAAACATATATATGAATTATTTTCAAATGGTATGCAGCAGAAAATTAGGAATGATAAAATACTTTACAAGATTCTTACCTAAAAAACTAATTTTTTCAAAATATAGGTACTTACGCAATCTGTAGTGCTCGTGTACCCAACACTCTAGCACGTTCAAACTTTGTCATGTATTCAGTTGTGATGCGTTTCTGGTTCTGCTGAGGCTGTTGTTCAGAGGATGGAAGAATATCTATATTTTCTTCCTATATTCAAGAAAACATAAGAGAAGCATAACATTATACATCTATATTTTAATCAAACATGCACAAAGAATGGTATTTTTCTAAGTCACTCAAATATGTACAGATGTTTGAAACTTGAATAAATCTTCTATTGCAGTTCAAAGCTGTGCAATTTTTTCTTTTTTTTTATTATCAAAACCATTGTTGTTGTCTAGCATTATTTTAATAAAGTTTGCCTTTTGTTGTAACTACTCTTTTTTTGTTTCTCTCTCCACACACACACACATACATGTTGGAGTTAAGGTTCTATGGAATTTCTGTCAAGAATGGTTATTTGGTGCAAGATATTTCAACATATATACTCTTAGCAACATCTCAAATGCATGTGAATCCCATGCTAAACATTCAATTGGAATAATGAAACTACAAAGATATCAGATTTTTGAAAAGAAATGATTGAATTCAGCAATAGTAGAATGAGTATCTAGGACATTTCAAAATGTCCACTCATAACCATTGTGGGTAGGTAATGTGGTAAAGAAACGAAAAACCACTGAACTAAAATAAGCAACTTTTTAGTTCATATAGTTTTTTGAATAAAGCTGCACAAGTAGCATCAAACAATGACCCAGAATTCCAAAGGTGCTAAAGGATTGCACTTCCAGCATATATTCATTTCGTTACACCCTGCTAGAATTCACAATAGCATAAATTATTCCAAAGTTAACATTTTCTAACACTGAAAATGTATTTCTGATACATTTTGGACCTTCAATTGCCCTCTAGGTATTGGTAAACTTTTTAAAAGTGCACCCTTTTATACCCTATATTTTTTGCATCATTGCAGCAACATGTGCTGACCATGTGATAACCATTCACCAATCCCATTGCGCCATCAATACTAATGGCACAATACTAACTTTTGAGAATTGGCGTATACCAACCAAAAAAACACCAACAAATCAATGGGGAGGAAGAGTGGGAAGTGTGTGAGTGGAGTTTAATTACCCATCAAAAATACATTTTTAGTGTTATAAAATGTTAACTTCTGAAATGGTACTACCTCCATTACCTCTGCCATAGCTAGAACCCCACATTGGAAAGGTGGAGGGGCTAGTGAAGGTGCAAAAACAATTAATCAAATGGAGAGTGACCACTATAAAAAGAATCAGATTTGCCACAATTAAAATACAAGGCACTCCTGTGGGGTATAGCACTACTTCTGGAAGAGGTAAGCTCTTCACCCAGTTAAGAAGATAAGATACGTAGGGTGGAAATGAATATGTGGCTAGGGCTAAAGGAACATATATGAATAGGCCAAGTGCAGTACTCCCAGGCAGAAAACATTCAGTGGAAGCACCTTGCATAATAGATTTCATGCCATATTGTGTGTATAATATGCAGCATAGCAACGATAGAGAAAATCAACAAGTGCAGTCCACCCGGGCAGAAATATCCAGGGAAAGCACTTTGGACTGATATAAAGATAGCCAAGCGAGGTCCACCCAGGCAAAAACATCCGGGGGAAACACCTTGGTATATAGTAGATTATGCAAAGTACGGTCCATCTGGGCAGAAAACATCCAGTGAAAGTGTTATGCATAATAGGTTTTATGTCATATTGTGTGTATAATATGCACCATAATGACAATAGCCCTCTTCTTATCATGTGAGTACATACAGCTATGAGATTGCGTTATTGTACAAAACCCACTCATGAGAAAAGTTACATGGTCCACTGTTCCAGTGACTGTAAACTGGAAGTGGCAAGGACTCCCATGCTCCACTAGAAGAAATGGGGAAGATATATTGTGGGGCCCGTAGGAACAACCCATTGGAGACAGTCCCTATTTTGGAAAGCAGAAAGACGCGGATTGTAAAAATCATGGGTCAGTAAGGATGGGCAAAAATCCCCATGTGCTTTACTCATGAGGTTCATGAGTGACGATCCTCAGGATATATATATAGATAGATATTAATAAAAAATGTGGTATATAGATACAGTTACACCACTGGAAAAGTGTCCGGCGGTCTTACAAAAACACTCCATTCCCAGAGTGAGGATTAGAAAAGTATACAGATATAGTGCTAAGATATAAAATTCAGCATACCTGACCAGACAACACCTGCCACCAAGTGGGATCCTAAAATGTGATGTACAGGCAATGATAAAAGAAAAAATAAAATATGACAACATAACCCAGTCACAGGCGAACAGACATGTAAAACTGCCACAGGAGGTAAGACAATATCTGCTCGAGGAAGACACAGCAAAGTTGTACAGAGAAAGAGCAACAAAATTATAGGGAGTTGTCCATATATTGGCCTGAATAATCCCCTCTAAACGACAGTGGTATCAAGCAGCTAAATACAGAGTTAAATGACAAATTAGGTGTGACTAAACAATATGTAGATGGCAACTGGCCAGGAGCACATCCAAATACACCAGTTATAGGAGTTGACGAACCCAACCCATGAATGTAATAGGAGAAAGATAAGGGGAAACAGAAATGCCATGGAACAATGAGATAGGAACAAGAACAACATTATGAGTCAAACAACAGAGCAGGGAATGAACTGGACAAAGAAGATGATCTGGAAATGAATGGGAATGCAGGTGGGAAAAGGAAGGGAAGGAAAGAGAAGAAAAGGCAAAACAACCTACCTGGGCAGCTAAAGCCCAGGGAAGGAATGCCAGCTCCAGATAACAAAAAAACCTACAACAAAATGGTAAAGGATAGCATAAAAATCAAAATGACAAAGACCACATGCCAGAAGGTTATGATTGAGGTCCTAAATGAAATATCTTACAAGGAACAAATTGCAATAGGTTCAAAGGGAGAACCAGACAGGAATGGAACAATCTGGGGAAGAGAAACTTTCTGGAAGAGGGAGAAAGAAGGGGGTTCAACAGGGCATCTCTATAAATAGCAACAGTTGAAACAGACAAACCCTGAACAAACAACCAGATGAAGAGCTGGGACAGGTGAAGGAAAAGAAGTAAAGGAGGGAGGAATCCCTGGGAAGAAGATCAAAATGAAAGATGCGACATGAGCTAAGGCACAAGACTGAACAAAAAACACATAGAAAGATAGAGCATGCTGATGTAGGGATGAAAAACGACCGATTGTTGTGGACAGAGGAGTGAATAGGACAGAGAAAGGGGCAGGGTCTGTTGCTCTGTGTAGGTCCAGAGCAGAGAGAACTATGCCAGAGTCAACACAAGAAGGAGGGGTCTAGATAAGGGAAAAGACCCAGAAGAGGACGAGTCTGAACAGAGGGTAGGCATTTAGGGGCAAGCCCCTGAGCCGAGACTTGTGATGGGACAAAAGTCACTCTGAAAAAAGGAATGTGAAGATATCTGGATGGTAAAATGTCAGATCGCAGGTGACTGAGGAGTGAACAGAACAGAGGGAAATGCATCTGAGTGGCCAATATAGAAAAACCAGCAGAGCACAACAAGGTTTGGTCTGGATAAGGGAAAAGACCCAGAAGATGAGGCAAATTGGAGGGTAGGCATATATGTGAAGACCCTTCTGATCTTGACTGAAAGCAGCTATCTCCACAGCTAAAGGGTGAAGAACAGAAGACTAAAAGGAAGAAAGTGTGGCATACCAGTGAATGGGAAACACATACAAATATGCAGTGTTCCCAGTTGAGAATACACACACACACAGAAAAACTTGAGTAAGAAGAGACCACTCTGTAGAGAACCTAGTGGGGAAGCAATAAGAGATTGGCCAAAAGAATCAGAACTCGGAGAACATGACCCATCAGAATAGTTATGCCAAGGTCATTGGCCCAGTACAAGAAATCCAGAGACTGGCCAGACATAGATAGGTACGTGGTTCCCCCTTTCTAGGTGATAAAGCTGATGATAGTGGAATTGCAGAAAGAACCAAAATCATTCTTCTCTGCAGGAAAGGGTAGAAAGGATACAATGAACTGTCAAGGTTACCAGGATGTGGATATGGAGAGTAGTCTCCTTGAGTGACCACCAGTTCCAAAACTTACGGGAATTGAGGAAAATGGGATGGTCCAAGGGACCATGAGGAAAGTTCTACTGGTTCTGAAGTATCCAATGAAGGGAATGCTACAAATATCAGAAAGCATTTCAGAAATAAACACATCTTAATGGATAATAACTATTTAGTAAAAAAAAATACATTCCTGACTTTTACTCTTCAGTATGCATATAGTAATTTTGATTTGGATAAAACAAATGCTATCTGAACTAAGTAATAAATTAACTAATGTTTCATTTAAAAGCACTGCATATATGTTACAGATTCAGTATTAACCTTCTCGCTAAGGACATCCTTTTCTTTGCATGTCACAAGGTTTTATTGAGTTATATTTAAAATTTAATTAAACTACTTTTTATCATGAATATACTTAGTATAAAAATGTAGCAAATAAAATCATATTATAATATAAAAAAAAACAACTGAATTTACCATAGTATGAGAATTGTGAAATTTGATCTCTAGGTATCCCCTCTTCTCTACTTTATTTACCACCCTTCCAAGAAGTACAAAATTTAACACAAACTACTCATTTGAATGTTGTCATAGCATTCAACATTATTCAGTTAAGAGCAATAAAACAGAAAATCAGACCCCCTCTTGCAACATCCTTTCTTTCAGAAATTACCAACAGTTCTTTCTGACACTTAATACTAAATTACTTATAGCAATTACAAAGCCAAGGTTATAATCTATCATATTACATATTATATTATGTTGTTTTCTGTACAGAGAATTGTCTATTTTGCTTCAAGTTCAAACGTTATTCCTATGGGAAACACAATGACAAGCTCAGCTGTATTTTTAATGGCTCTTGTCACTTAGAAACCCAGAAAAACTGTGATAGTTATAGGACATTGTCTGCTTTTTGCATATAAGTACATTATTTCTTGTTTTTAATGTGTATTCTTTATTTATTATTATAAAAGTAACTAAAATGTAGCAAGAGGGTTAAGTTACCTATTTATTCTTATGAATTGTTTAGGGATGGTCTATTGTTAAAAATGTATGAAATATTCTTATAACAATGTTCCTCAAATTGTGGATGAAATGAATGCCCAGTACCTGTTAAAATTGAAAACAAAACATTTCACTCATCTTCCCAAAATGTGCTATCTTAGAACTTAGTTGACATAGTTAAAACTAATTGGTTTTAATGCTTATTCTCCACTATGTATAATGAGTAATAACCACAATGGTAATGATTATTGTACAGTAGGAGTTACAAAAAAGAAATGTTAAGGATTTGTATAACCATTGAAGAATATTGTTTTATTAAAGTTTCATAGACACAGATTATAAAACAACTTTTCTGCTGTAAAATCTAAAGTTCAATAATTATTATAACTATGTATGTTACCACACAGAAACATTTTATTAACTTATACATAGAAAAACATTCAGTTTTTCCAGGTAGTATTTTTAATAATGATGCAAGAATAACTTCAGACTGTATTTCCATTGTCAAAGCTGACAATTTCATATTTTCACACTAGCCCCTAACAAAAAATAAATGTTTACTTCTAAAAAACAAAATCCTACATTATAAAAGACAAAAAAATGTAATGTCAAATTTCACTGAAGGACCATGTATACAAAAATAAAATTACCAAAGAATAAAAGATTCAGGATATATACTGAAATTTAATGTTTCTTTTTTTGTTATATTGTAGTTAATCTCTGAGTAAGGCAGTAACATATAACAACTTGATACTGGCTCAGAATTTTTCTAGTCCTTAATATCCCTAAGGAAATATTTTGTGTGTAACTAAGCACAAAGCTACACAATGGGCTATCTGTGTTTTGCCCACCATGGGAATTAAAACCTGATTTTTAGCATCGTAAGTCCGCAGACATGATTCTGTGCCACTCGGGGGCACGTTAATTGGGATGTACATTATATAAACAAACTGAAGAGAAACTGACAGTTTTAAAAAGAAGATATATTACAAAGTGATTATAATAATAGTGAATTTTAACAATCAGTATAAGACATGAAATGATTGTCTGATTTTACAACAATGTTATTAAAGTAGTTATGATTGATCAAAGTTCATGCTATATTACTTTTTTTACATTTTTACAACTGAAGACATAGTGGTAGCATGTTCATCTTCTGTATGAGGTTAATGATAAGAGATTCTAGTATTCAAAAGTGAAACTCCTGAATATAAGGAGGACTATAAACGTGGTAAGTTAATTATGAGTAACAACAATTTCATAATGCTAGTGATGTCAAGTGTCAATCTTGTTTCTTATCTAAGGGTTTCATTTGTTGATTACAACCACTTTGACGTATTTTTGTGCTTTTTTTTTAAAGTATTGTTACTAAAAATATTGCTCTGTGTTTTTGTATATCTATATTAAGTAAAAAAATGCAAAGGTGACAAAATAAAGAAATTAGACTTTTGGAGTTAAATCACCTCAAAAACAAATTATGTTTGTATTTTGATTTCTTCGCAATGTTTCAAGTGATGATCTTTTCAAGCCAGAAAAAATATATATATAATGTTCCTTTTGTCTATACTTTTGCCATAATTTGGAATATAGTTCATGGCCTGTTTTTCTTAAATGGAATTTTTCACATTTGATTAAAATCAAGCTTAATAATCATTTCAAAATTTATTTATTAGAAAAATATCTATTCTGAGAATCAATAGATGAGAATAAAGGAGGTAAAATTGGGTGGCTTTTAATGTCTTTTTTTTTGACAACCTGTTTATTTTTAAGACAAAGTACAGTTGTTAGGAGCAGTGAACTGCTAAAGCCTTTAGTGTTACTTTGTAATTTTTCTTTTCTTAATTTTCTTTTTATCGCAATTGCATTTTTGAGTGAATCCAATTTATTTCAAGGTTATTATTGTTTATGTTTTGATTGGTGGTGTAATTTTTATCTACACTGTGTTGATTAGTATTAAAGCAAAGCTATTCACCAATATGTACAATTAATGGGTTTTATATTGACAAGTATCTTTGTAATAAACATATTACAATGAAAATAATGAACTACAAACCACTTACTTCATTTTGATCCACTTCATCTAAATTTTCTTCTTCTTCTACATCTTCAAAATCATCACCACCAATACTTTATAAGAATAAATGCAAAGTATTTATACAGATATACACAAGGACACACACACACATGTATGTGCACAACATACACAACTCATGTGTGTGCACACAAAGATAACACAATTTATCAAATAAAATATTACACATAGATAACTTTAGTATTATAAAAAAAAAAGCCTACATATAGAAGATGAAATTATCATGGCAGTAGTTTACCTTTACTCTTATGGTAAAAATGACTTAAATTAATATGACATGTAAAATAACAAGAATATTATAAATTACTTTGTCGACTGAAAAGTATAGTGCAGACTACCTATAGCTACATTACTCAGAGGAATTCAGGAAAATATGTCCCTTTACTATAGCAGCCAAAGAAAGTTAAGCAACTGTTTTTTTCAGAGACTATTTATATATATATTTAAACTAACAAACTTACAACACATTACAGTCTTATTAATTATCAGTAGAATGATTATCCCCCTGTGTGAGCAAACTATTTAGTGCACTTCCTCCATGTTTTGGGCAGTAAATTTGACATTTGTTCACATTGGAGCAAAATAACAAGTGTTCACTTTGTATAATGTATCATTAAGGCCCAGAGGCTGTGTTTAACTAGGTTATTTTCATTTATAGATTTTTTATTTATTATTATTCAAAATTTACTTACTGCAAGTGTTTCAGGACACTATTTATATAAACCGTTTGTTACAACAATAGCTAATAAAGCGTGAATGCATTTTTTAAGCAAGCAAAGCATGATTATACTTATCAGAATTAATTCTTATCAGGCCTATTATATTTTTATTTAGTCTTTTAGGATTTTTTCCAAAAGAAGAGTGTATAATAGTATTTTAACCACACTTTGTCCACCACATTCACTGCCATTGAAATATTTCCCTCAATCCAGATCTAATAAGGCTGGCTGGGACACAACAAACACAGTAGTGGGTCAGAATACAAATTTGTATAAGTAATTTGTTAGAACAATTGTTATGATGTGAACAATTTTTCTACCCTGGTGAAACAGGATTATAATTAATTACACTTGTCATAAGTTAATAGTGTTAGGCCTACTATATTTTCCTCAACTATATCCTTTATTCAGGTCCATTAGGGTTTTTCCAAGAAGTGTGTATGATAGTATTTCGATCACATTTCGTCCACCATATCCATGTTATATTTACCTAAACACATTTACATATTACTGTCACGGAGATACGATTTAGATGCACATAAGCAGAATAAAATAAATTATTGTGATTTTTATAAAATACTATGCAACAACTGATTACTCTAATACACTACTATATGTAACATTACATCATGAAATTCAAATTTTTCATTTTGTTATAATACATTTTTCAAATTACATAGTTAGTACAGCATTAGTGAAAGCAATTAAATAAAAAAGTGATGTGTAACATTATTGGTTTTTGTATAACAACATTTTAAGGAAACAGAAATTTCTGAAATCTGAACAGCTTGCATTGTTCATCTTTTGTTTCATAAATAATCTACAACTTCATAGAGTTTATTGTTTGACTTAGTTACAGGATTTTCAATTTTGATCCCAAATGACATTAATTACAAGCCAAAATAAGTAAATATATAGGTGTGTATATATATATA